ATACCGAAATAATTAAATAAAAAAATGTTAACGCCCCCAAGCCGGCATACCTGTTTCCAATATGTGAAATAAATATGGCGGACATGGAGGCTTATGACCTGGAAAGGTTAGCCGATCCCACTTCCAGTTTGTTTCTTGTCAGCCAGCTATACACATCCGGTGTTATTCTCTACACACGCTTCACTGGTTGCTCTATTTTTTCCCAACAAGTATGGCGGCTTGGGGGCGTTAACTTTTTTTTATTTCATTATTTCGGTATTTTTGTAACCGAAGTTCAGCTTTGATAAAAACGTGGTTTTCTTTTATAAACTAATAACATTAATAATGCTCTTCTTTGATTGGCATTTAGTAATTGAACATATTAACACACGGTACAATTTTATGGATACACAATTACTAAGTTTAATACTAAGCGACGTTTCGACAATGGATTGTTAAGTTTTAATTGTATTTGATTGTTATTTTGTTTCATATTCTGTATATTATTTGCCTACTATTCACATACCTGTATCATTTGCTTGATAAAGATGAAAGTATCCTCGTCGAAACGTCGCTTAGTATTAAACTCAGTAATTGTGTATCATTGTACCCTGTGTTAACTTAGCCTTACTGCTACTTTAAGCCATTTGATACTTTTTATTTTATTATTTTAAACAATGTATTGATATTCTTTGTGTAATTTAATTCATTATTCGACCTATTTCAATGAAACATTATTGACACTCCTCTATGTTCTTGTAAAGGCTGGCGCACACTATGCGACAACTTAAGCGACGAGTCCGGCGACAAATATCGCCGCAATATAAGTGGAGTGAGCACACTGCACGAGAACTTTGGCGATCACGAAAGAAACACTTCGTCACGTGACACCTCTAAATTCATTTTAGTCGTCATCGCGTTGAATACTTCAATAAATATTGTTTTGTACATAATGATCAGGCGGCGACGTAGTCGTGTTAGTACAACGCCCGTCGAGTGCGGTGTGTTTATAGTATTCTAAGTAACTAGCTCAAATCGGGCGACTCTTAAATGTATAAAAATAAACAGGCTACGTGAAGATGAGTCCAGAAATATTCCAGAGAATCCTAAATATAATCACTCCTCTCATTACCAAACAACCAACCAAGATGAGACAACCAATAAGCCCAGGAAAGCGATTGACGGTCAATCTCCGTTTTCTCGCTACAGGTAATAGAAAAAAAAACATAAAAAAACGCCCATTCTAATTACCATCTATGAATCCTAGGACTATATTATTATTGAGTATATTGCTAGACGGAACAATCAACTCGGTCTACCATATGTATTTGGCAGCTTTGTCAAAATTCCAATTAGTTAGTTAGGGCTAAATTAGAACACCCGAGCCATTTATATATACTGTACATGCAACAGAAAAAAGTTCTCGTGTGTGGTTATGTCACATGAGAAGAATAACCAAAACTGATTGGTGTAGGTGGATTTATTTTCTTCGTTGTCGCTTAACTTGTCGCCGAGGTGAGCACATTACACGATTTGTTGCCAATGAAGCGACGACTTGGGCGATCATATCAAACAAGTCTGATATCGGCGACCATCGCCGTGATGGTCACTGGCGACGAAATATCGCTTGCGATCGAGTGCGCACACTAGGCGAGTTTTTTTTAATTTTCGTCGTCGGCGACCAAAATCGCCTATGTCGTCGCGTAGTGTGCGTCAGGCGTTAAATGTCAGTTGAAAGTATATACCATTACTTTTTTAAATGTCCCATTTATACCGCTCAAAGAGATGTGCTAATGTCCGGTATTAATTATCTTAATAGCCTTCCTTTTAATGAATTATTAAATATCTTACTAAATGGGAGCCGTGTTTTACCCAACATTTTAAACAAGAAAATATCTCTTGCCGTTCAACGTTATATTTCCAACACAAAACGTTTAATAGTAAATTGTAAACTTTGTTTTAATTCTTTATTGAGTGATGTACATCCTTACAATCACTCACTCATATTTATAATATTGTTTAGATACACACATATTTATGATTATAGTTTATATTAGATGCTTAATTTAGTAAAATGGTAATGATCTAATTTACTCTTTTATATATCAAAAGACTAAAACGATGATAGATAATTATACATTCGTGTGTGAAATAGCTTTATTTAACGTCCGCTTCCACCGAAGTGATATCGCAGACAATTTATAAATTCGTGTAAATATTGTATATAGCTGTATCTACTGTATGTTAAATATACGGATAGTCCATTGGCCAATCACGCTGTTTTACCGATATTTTGTATAATAGTTTGAATGCAGCTATGGCGGTTGTGGCGCCAGGCAGAGTAAGTTTACTCTTCTGGACTAGCTGTTACCACTGTTTGTCGTGTATTTTGTACCCGATGAACAGTCCATTTGCTGAGAGAGCGAGAGCAATGGGATTTAACGTCCACTCGACACAAACTATGTCATTTCGGGACTAACATATGGTTCAATTTTATTTCCATAATTCGCTTGCGTGTAGGGGTCTTTAGCAGTGGGAGGAAACCGGAGGACCCGGAGAAAACCCACGAGGTTGGACAGGCGACCCTACAGTCCATTTGCTGATTACACCATTTTGCCTATTCCGTTTCTTTAGGACTCCGAATTTTGTCTAATGGTTTGGATTGTTCGTACTTGGTTTTATTTTATTTTTGCCATCACATGTTATATATTATATTATTCTATTCCCTGGGAGAAGGTTCATAATTTTTTATAAATTGTCCTAATCCTATTGTAAATTATTTGCAATAAAATATGTTTAAACCAATTAATGATTAAGTTGAAACAATCTATTGCTATTCTGTGTGTAATTTCATTCATTCTGTAATTTTAAACAAATTATTGACATATTTTTTGTCTGTGTAATTTAAGTCATTCTGTAATTTTAAACAGATTATTGACATTTTTTTGTCTGTGTAATTTAATTCATTATGTAAATTTAAACAGGTTATTGACATATTGTTTGTCTGTGTAATTTAATTCGTTATGTAATTTTAAAGCAAAGTATTTATATTCTTGTAAATGATTTATATAAGCTTCAACTAGTTTTTAGATTCCTTAACTAAATGTTGTATCTTTATATTATGTCAATATAAATAACATAAATCCCCACATTCACGTTCAGATGCTTCAATCTGTTATCATTTTTCAAGAGAGCTGTGGTGGTGGTGGGTGTGCGTGGACGTGGTGGTGGGTGTGCGTGGTCGTGGTGGTGGTGTGGGTGGGCGTGGGAATGTGGGTGTTGAAGGCGGGGGAGGGGGGGACACATCAGGAAAACTGCTTATTAACTCAATATAGAAACGTTTGCCATTTTCAATCGGATCATGGAATTCACTCAAAGGGCATATTGTGATGGAATTCACTCAAAGGGTATGTTGTGATGGAATTCAATCAAAAGGTATGTTGTGATGGAATTCACTCAAATAGGATGTTGTGATGAAATTCACGCAAAGTGTATGTTGTGATGGAATTCACGCAAAAGGTATGTTGTGATGGAATTCACTCAACAAGTACGTTGTGATTATTAATGTGCGACACAGCTGTGGTCCATGCAGGTAGCAGACTCTTAATATAAAAACAAGGATGGGCGAATCAGGCTATGTTCTAAGTAAAGAATCTCTGATTAAATTCATTTTAATGGTGTAAAGGCATGCTCGAACCACTACTGTCATAATAAAAAAAATGGGTTCTTTGAATTTTTTATTTTTTTGGTCGTCTGCTTGTTTTATTTTCAAGTTAAATGATGACACGTTGATTCAACCATTTTTGGTTTATATTATTTTCCAGATTCCGAAATTATAGACCCGAAACGATTCCATTGGAGCCCATGGCACTGTTAGAGGGTGTTCACATTCGCTGAAGGCAATATTGTGTTTATTTTCAATCACTTAGGTTTTGATCCCATTATTGATGACGCCAGACGGAAAAAATGAATATACGGTAAGGTCAATAAGAGCTGTAAATCGTCTTCCGCGCCTCACAAAAAAAAACCTCCAACGACTATTGGATGGCGTGCTAACACCAATGCAGTGATTTGAAAGCTTTTGGCCCGAGTTTTAAATCCTTAAAACCTTCGATGTGGTTTCTTTTTGTCAGTGGTGCAGGACGGAAGGTCTGACAAGGACAGCTGTTTAGTCGTTCGGATGAGACGAAAAACCGAGGTCCTGTGCACACATTGGCGTGCACGTAAAAGATTCCTTGGCAGTATGTGTTCTGGCAAAATTTCCCTCATAGCGTCATGTAAGGCGTATGGCAATCTTCATTAGCCCAGTCGAAGCAAAACACTAAGACATTAAACCCCATTTTATTTTATATCTGACTATGGATAGAATATATAGGAATGAAATCGTTTTTAACCTTTTGCACGGGGATAGAGTAGGTAGTAGTTCAATGATTACACCTGGATTTCTGTGACCGTCTTATCTGAATTTACGGGAGGGGGGGGAGAGGGAGGGGAGGGGAGGGGAGAGAGAGAGAGAGAGAGAGAGAGAGAGAGAGATGGTTTAACGTCCACTCGACACAAACTAAGTCATTTCGGGACTATGGTTCAATTGTATGGTTCAATTTTATTTCAATAATTCACGTGCGCGTAGGGGGGTCTTTAGCGGTGGGAGAAAACTCACGAGGTTGGACAGGCGACCCTACTCCTTGTCATATATGTACAATCGCTGAATTTACGGTCACCAGGGAGTAAATCAGGTGTATATGGTTATAAAATCAGAGACGGGATTTTTATGTTACCGCACTTAAATAATTAATCATTGTAGGCACACATAACGACCCCAGTTGACAAAAAAACCCACCGGCTTTCTGTATACACGATATAACAATGACAACCCGCCATTGCCTTCATACTAACAGCTTACTATTAATTTAAATAATCACGGCGCTTGTTGTATGTAACCATTGAACCTCGGTCAGGTTTGACGATATAGATATAAAAGTCACGTGATGAGCGTCTATTATAAACGCTAGGTAAATAATAGTCCAAGCCAACAGTGTCCCCTATATTACGTTCATATATATCCTGATATCCTGCTCGACATGTCATCTTGGTGAATACCTGTGGAGGTCGAGGAAGGGAGAAGATGATTAGAAGGTGTTTTTACATGGATATATAAACTTAATGTAAGTAATACGGAACTTTTAAATACATAAAACCAATCAACAGGGTCATCTTTATATAACATGACCCTTTTTGAAAAGGACAAAATATCAACATAAGATACTCCATTAGTATGATAGTGGGGTTGGATGGCCGAGTGGTTAGCGCGTGCTCGTTGTATCATAAGGTCTGTCATTGAGTTAACTGACGTGGTTGCGATTCCCCATTTGTACGTGACAAGGAGTAGGGTTGTCTGTCCAACTGCATGGGTTTTCCTTCGGATCCTCCGGTTTCCTCCCATTGCTAAAGCCCCCCACGCTCAATGGAATTATTGAATTAAAATTGAACCATATGTTAGTCCCGAATTGATCTAGTTTGTGCCGAGTTGACGTTAAACCTCATCTCTCTCTCTCTCTCTCTCACTCTCTCTCTCTCTCTCTCTCTCTCTCCCTCTCTCTCTCCCCCTCTCTCTCTCACACTCTCTCTCTCTCTCTCTCTCTCTCTCTCCCTCTCCCTCTCACTCTCTCTCTCCCCCTCTCTCTCTCTCTTATATGGGGTTACTATTTCTTAGTTTATTACATGTAACGGTTCAATACTCTTACAGGTATCTTTATCAAGCGCTGTGATCATTCTTTCTATTAAACGCCATGCAATCACAGGTGCAATGTGTCTCTGCGCTCGTTGGTCCCCAGGGCTAAGCGGTAAAAAGGCTCTGGCTCGCTAGCCTAGAGGTCCCTGTATTGGCACATAAAGTTCATAGGGATTTTCCGACGTGGGTTCCCTTTCTCAGTGGTGCAGGACGAAAGGCCTGACAAGGATGGGACGAAAAATCGAGGTCACGTGTATACATTGGCATGCACGTAAATTATCCCTTGGCAGCTGGGATTCAAAATAAGAGTAGAACATAGTGCCGCTACACTGGCAACATTGTCTTCATAGCACAGTGTATTACAACTGTACAGTGTGTCCATGTGTTATGACGATCCTGTTTATCAATAGAAGTTATCTCCGCTATCTTGTTTCAGTCGAACACATTAACAGGTCAGTTCACTCGTTTGCAAATAATATATTCTAGTACATGACACAAAACATCCACGTTCATTGTGAACAGGTGTCAAAAATAACGAATGATAGAAGCAGGGTAGGATTAAGCTTGTAAGGGGCCTGAAAATGTCACGGGCCCCTTGCATCAATAGTGAAAGGGCGTATATTATGGTTAGTGTACGTCACACAAAATGGTAGTGAGACAGTTATTTTTTTGGAACAAACATATAATAATTAATATTATGGGGCCTCTCCTCTTCTCCCCACCCTACCCAATCGGGGTCAGGGGCGTAGCGTATAAGGTAAAATATTATTTTAGATGAATACGTGATAGTAAATAATAAAGGATGTTACTATTAATAGGCTCGGAGAGTGAGAGAGAGAGAGAGAGAGAGAGAGAGAGAAGAGGGGGGCGGTCATTTCCGGACTAACGTATGGTAGCTGCACCCCCTAACTATTACCTAATTAACTCATTTATTTGGGCGACGTCTCGAAGAGCAGTCTTTGCACTGTTTAAATCAAGTCAGGGGGGTTGGATGGCCGAATGGTTAGCGAGAGAGAGAGAGAGAGACTAGGTCATTTCGAGACTAATTTATGGTTTTAATTTTATTTCAATAATAAAATAAAATACAGCGCGTGCGTGCTAACCATTCGCCCCCCCCCTCCCCCAATGGTTAGCACGTGCGTGCTGTATCATAAAGCCTGTCATTGAGTCAACTGGCGTGGTTTCGAATCCCCGGTTGTACGTGACAAGGAGTAGGGTCGCCTGTCCTACCTCGCGGGTTTTCTCTGGGTCCTCCGGTTTCCTCCCACTGCTAAAGACCCCTACGCGCAAGCGAATTATTGAAATAAAAAAATAAACCGTATGTTAGTTCCGAAATGACCTAGTTTGTGTCGAGTGGACGTTAAACCCCATCTCTCTCTCCCTCTCTCTCTCTCTCTCTCTCTCTCTCTCTATCTATCTCTCTCTTTAAATCAAGTCCATGATGTTTTGGGGACTATTCTCTCATAGTTTTTAAGCAATCAAGCCGGTGACATTTTGAGAAGTAGCATATTTGCTTAATTTTCAAAGAAGTGATTGACGTTTCGAGGTGTATTTTCTCCGAGTTGACGTCTTGAACAGAATCCCCTTCTCGTTTTCAAGTAATTGATAATGCCAATTTCAAATTTGATAATGTCATAGTAATTCAAATCTTTCATAAAACTCTGTAATTGAATCATGAAAATATTTTGAGTAATGAATTAAATTTGAAGGAGCGACACGTTCGATTAAGGTCAAACAAAGTATTGGATTGGTTTATTCTGATATGTTACATGTATAAGATACACTGGATTGTTCTGGTGTGTTATAGGATGGCATGAATTAGGTTGTTCTGCTGTGTTATGAGATGAATCAAATTGTTCTGGTGTGTTTCATGTATAATATGCACTTGATTGTTCTGCTGTCTTCTGATGGGATGAATTGGGTTGTTCTGATGTGTTATAGGATGGGATGAATTGGGTTGTTCTGGTGTGTTATAGGATGGGATGAAATGGGTTGTTCTGGTGTGTTATATGTATGAGATAAATTGGGTTCTAATGTGTTATAGGATGGGATGAATTGGGTTGTTCTAATGTGTTATAGGATGGGATGAACTGGGTTGTTCTAATGTGTTATAGGATGTGATGAACTGAGTTGTTCTGGTGTGTTATAGGATGGGATGAATTGGGTTGTACTGGTGTGCTATAGGATTGGATGAATTGGGTTGTTCTGGTGTGTTCTGAGGTGCACTGGGTTGTTCTGATGTGTTATAAGATGGGATGAATTGTGTTGTTCTGGTGTGTTATAGGATGGGATGAATTGGGTTGTTCTGGTGTGCTATAGGATGGGATGAAATGGGTTGTTCTGGTGTGTTATATGTATGAGATAAATTGGGTTACGTTTTCATCTCGATGTATCCCAATCTATTTTCTGGTGTTAGTTGTTAGTTTCCTTGTAGATATAACGTTTTAATTGTTCAAAACAAATTTGGTAATATATAAAATATCACTTAATTCATGGATGTAAGTTGACACGCACACACCAAAATTTGACCTAAAAGTTCGTGTAGTTTGACTCCGACATCAGGTCAGTAGCCATATTTATCTTTTTCTGTCATAAATTATTCTGTCATAATTTATAGCTTAAACGATGAACTTGCCAGATGGTACAGATCAAAAATTAATGTTTTGGGGGGTTTTGGGTTTTTTTTTTACTCCTAAAGTCGTTCCGATGTTATATCTTTCACACCCTGTGAATATTTGTCGGTCAATTTTGTTACTTGATCTTTAGTTCTGTCTGTTTGTCGTTGTGCAGTCCTCCTACATTGCCAATTTCATTGTGTATTTTAAAATCTACATAAGTTTTGTTTTTCACATATTATACTTAAAATAAAAATACGTCCAAATAAAACATCAACCACGTAAAACATCCCTTGACAGTTGGAATTCGATATTAGAGTAGGCCGTAGTGCTGCTGTCCGGGCAAAATTTCCCTCATAGCACACTGTATGGCGTATGTCCGTTTTCATTAGCCCAGTTCGGAGCAGAACAGTAGGACGTTAAACCCCATTTCATTTCATTTCTTTTATTTCTTTTATTTCTTCATTCATATATACATCGGTTTCGAATGTCCGGCTGTACGTGACAAGGAGTAGGGTCCACCGGTTTCCTCCCTCTGCTAAAGACCCCTACGCGCAAGTGAATTATTGAAATAAAATTAAACCCTATGTTAGTCCCGAAATGACCTAGTTTGTGTCAAGTGGACGTTAAACCCCATCTCTCTCTCCCTCTCTCTCTCTCTCTCTCTCTCTCTCTCTATTTCTTCATTCATTTATACATCAAACTATGAACTAGTTATCCGCTCTTAATTGGACGTCTTCAGATGCTATAATGTCTATAAATAATCAAACCGTCTTCAGATGCTATAATGTCTATAAATAATCAAACATTGGCCATGTGCCATTAATAAACCGTCTTCAGGTGCTATAACGTATATCAATAATTAGCAATTAGCCATGCAGTTTTATACATATATAGAATAAATTACATAAATAATATCAGGTAAAAATTACAACATTAGTATATAGCTATCTGTTATTTATAAACGTCTTCAGGTGTTGTATATCAATAATTAATTAGCTATCCAGTTTTATACATAGGTAGAATAATAGATTACCTTGACAATAGATTATAAATAATATCAGGTAAAAATACAACAAAAGGTTTTTAAGTATATAATATGGCATTTCCAATCTTGTAGATTTTTGTTTTACGTGTAGTGCGGTCCTCCTGCACTTACTATTATGGTGGAGTAAGAAATGAAATGAAATGAAATGAAATGGGTTTTAACGTCCTACTGTTCTGCTCCGAAATGGGCTAAGGAAGATGGGCATACACCATACAGTGTGCTATGAGGGAAATTTTGTTCGGACAGTGGCACTGGCCCGAGAACTCTTATATTGAATTCCAACTATCAAGGGATCTTTTACGTGCACGCCAATGTGTATACGGGACCTCGGTCCCTCCCATCCGAACGACTAGACAGCTGTCCTTGCCAGACCTTCCGTCCTGCATCACTGACAAGGGAGATCCACGCCGGAAAATCTGGATGAACTTTCTCGGCCAATGCAGGGATCGAACACCCGACCTCCAGGCTAGCGAGCCAGCGTCTTACCCACTTAGCCACCGTGACCCCCAGGTGGAGTAAGAAATGCCTTATTAGGTATTATATACTTATAATAATAAATATATATAGTGTAATGTATATACGTTGATATATGCCAGTCATTTGATGAAAAATACATTATATTACAGGACATATACTAAATTATATTCAAACCACTGAATCGGTGACTGAGTTAGATGATGACCTTCGACCTCGGCTTCCAGGTTCAACTCATTCGTTCTGTAGTGACAGGGTGAGTCACTCGGCAAACCTCGGCAGATTCCAGTACCCTAC